ATAATAATAATAATAATAATAATAATAATAATTTGCACCAGGAACAATTTATCTGTCTTTTTTGTATCCATAAGACTCTTCACCAGCACCACAGTTGATATTCTTCCAGGTGTCTTTCTCTCCAGCTTTGGAAATTGGAAACATTATAGCCTGAATGCTGGACATCTGCATAAAACTTGAGGAAATGTTTGTGGTATTTTGAACTTCAATTCACAGCATACAAAGTTTTGGCAACTCTGGGAGCTGTAGTACAAAATTACATTTATTGCCTATTTGGGTTGAGTACAGCCAAACCGATCATTCTGAGAGTTTATTTCAACATAAAATGCATAAAATGTATGGAATATCATTGCACAGAGAAGACTGGGACTATGATAAAGGGCTAATATGGATCTTGTCTTCCGTTCTATAACAAATATATTCCATAAAGGAAGAAATTAGGTTTAGCAGAAGTAAGCAATCTACAGCAGAATAACAGATTGGATCATAAAGGTTTATCAATATTGGTTTTGTGGCTGTGTGGGTTGGGATTTCTTGAAAGTAATGCATCATTTCTTTTTCTTTGCTTAGCGCCTTGTTGAAGCTGCAGAAGAGGCTCATTTGAAACATGAATTTGATGCCGATTTACAGGTAAACAAACTTTGCCATTTTAAGATGAATGGGTAAACCCAAAAACTAAGTTCTGTATATAGAAGGAATTACTTTTCTTGAAAAATTCATTTATAAAATGCTTCCAGCTCACAGAACCGAAACTCTCTCTTTTCCTTCAAAGGGGCTTCTGAATCCAGTTATTATCTAAACATTCCAGATACAGAAGGCCTTAATAACCTTGCTTACCTATATAATGAGTGGGCTCCAGAAAATAAACTGGCAGTAGATGATGTTTCACTTTTACACCCATTCTATGGAAATAGTCCTTTCCCCCCAAAACATTTCTTATAGTGACATAATATATACTTCCTATATAAAAGAAAAGAGTTGGTTTCAATGGAATGGATTGGAGTTTATTGGAGCAGGCAAACGTCTTGAGCTTGATGTTTAATTAATCGTAACCTAAACTATCTAAAGTTTAGAAGAGAGCAGTAAATCAATTTAAAAAATATTTAAACTTAGAGTTTTTGAGGCCACAGATTTTAGGTGGATTGACTATACAACACCATAGCCGAATCATAAAATCATTGAGTTGGAACTGGTACCAATGACCAAGATACCCTTCAATCTTCTCATCACCAAATTGAATATACCCATTTCCCCCAGTCTTTCCTTTTATACTTTGTTCTCCATATCATTTAACATCTTTGTTGACCTTTTCTCAGGGCCCTTCCACACATCCCTATATCCTGGAATATCAAGGCAGAAAATCCCACAATATCTGATTTGACTGGGTTATCTGAGTCCATACTCAGATAATGTGGGATTTCCCGCCTTGATAATCTGGGATATAAGATGGTGTGGAAGGGCCCTCAATCTCCCCCAACTAGTCTATATTCTTTTAAAAATGAACTGAAGGTAATATATTAGATGAAAACAGATTAGCATAAAATATGGTGGTGCTTCTTGTGATACTTTTGCTAATTTTATCCTTTAGATTTGTAACTTTTAAGTATGTTTTTTTTACCTGTGACTTTCTCTTGTTGTATGTACCTGTGACTTACCTGTGACTCCCTCTTGCTGTAAATACCTCTTCACTGCAGGCATTCTTATTTTAAAACCCTTAGATTTTAGAAATACTGATGAGAGAAGCACTTTAAGGTTTAAAGCCACATGTGTTGACTGAATTAACAATGCAGCCTAATCCCCAA